GGGGGGGGATAGATTGAATGAGGGCGGGAGGGAGTGATAGAGTTTGAGTTGAGTATCCATATTAAAATGTGATTGATGGAGGAGTAAGTGAACGAAGTTCTATGAAACAAGAAAGATTCGAAATAGAGTTGAGTATAGAAGGCCCAGAGTTGACAGTACTGTTAAAAGTCTCATTTCGCATTTCTAATTCACCCATTAATGCATTACGTGTAACCAATCCCATTTCTGTAGTAATTAAATTGCATAAAGACGGCGATTCGATTCCTTGTCTTATCTTCGGTGAAGGGCATAAATTTGCCCCCCCCCCCACTGAGATGTCCCCATGGCTTACTCCACAGCAGAAATCAGAGTCTCATGAGATATTGGGTTATGGTGATCATAGTGGACACAATCATGTTGACTGAGGTCTAACAATTCAACTTTTGGTAATCTTAATAGGCTAATGGACTCAAGTATTGAAACTAACAATGGTAAGATTAGAAATGAAGTTGGTGTCTTAATGCCACTTAGAGAACACATAAAGTATAATGAGTGCATTAAGAATGTGAAATAAGATCTGAAATATTTCCATGAAAGCACATTAATTCAACTCGAGCAATTTTAGCTATTTCAATTTGTAACTCACCAGGCTTGAGACAACAATATTTTCATTTATCTGAGTATATGATTCTGCCAAATTGTGCAGAGCACATATTTTCACATCTATTTTACAGGTGAACCAGAAATGTCGTGTATTCCGACAGGTCATGCGCCATATATGTCTGGTATATAAATGTTTGCCACACCTTATGGACTAACGTATTTACAATCTTCAAGAATGCGGTGTTATCTCCACCTCTATGTAACACTTCTTGTTGCCACGACACAGTCTCAATCACGTAAGTATCCACTTTAGTTGCACTCTATTTGAGAAAGCTTTACTCATTCAACCTGTTTTGTCGCTATTTTTACATTTCTGCATAATGTTGGTGGTCTGTTTTACTTACTATATGTTTGGCGATATGGGATTTATCAACTATAAGAAAGAAGTCGTTCATTCAGTTTACTTAAAGGAGCCCCCCCCCCACCTTACGACTAACTGACAAATTATTAACTATTTCTGAATTCATTCCATGGCAGTTTGAAGACATCCTTGGCATTGATTCAAGTAGACTTCCTACATCAAGAGTAGTAAATGTTGCTGGTACCTTCAATGTCGATCCGGCCACTCTCAGCATTATACGCGTTTGAAGCACTCGATGACGTCGTTGTACTATTATCTCCATTACATTGTGTTGGGGCAAGGGAAATTATCATTATTACAAATAAATTTCCTACATAAACACTTCTCAGCTTATAATCTCCATCCGCGAGTGTTGCAAAATCACGTACAGTTGCTTTGTATAAATAAATGGCACTATCAGTTCATGCACAAGGTGTAGTATCGGTCTAGATTCAACGAATTTTAGGGAGATACACGTAGTTCAATTGAATATGCTAACGGTTTTTCTGTAAATGTGTGCAAATAATCTTAATGGGGATTAAGTAAAGCAATTGAAATACATAATTGTCTGTCAATCTACCGCAAACACGTGTTTGAGTGGCTTATAAATATTAGGATGTGTACTAACTTCAAGTGATAAATTGTTAGACATGAAATGATTGCAATTGCATGAAAAAATCTAGAGAAAATAAGTTGTAACTTCATATGCACTTTTTCCTTTCATACAGCACTTTCAGTACAAAATGTCCAACTGTGCCAAATTGGGAAGACCCGGGCAAGCCTTACCTATGACGCAGCTGACTTTCAAGTCCTGAAGTTGCGTTTCATTAGACTCCTCTTTCGAGGCTGCTTAACGTTTTCTACCAAATTCTGCCCACCCAGTCGATAGAGAGAGAGAAGATGCCAACAAAGTGCGGATTCACTTTTACTTATGAAAATAATTTCCATTAAAAGTTGAGCATGCAGGCTCGTGGAATCACCCCACGCGCGCACCCACGCACTTGGACAAACACGTGATTGAGACTGTGTCGTGGTAACAAGAAGTGTCACATAGAGGTAGAAATGACACCTCATTCTTGAAGATTGCAAATACGTTGGTCCATAAGGTGTGGCAAACATTTATATACCAGACATATATGACCCATGACCTGTCGGAATACGCGACATCTCTGGTTCAGCTGTATAATAGATGTGAAAACATGTGCTCTGCTCAATTTGGCAGAATCATATACTCAGATGAATGAAAATATTGTTGTCTCAAACCTGGTGAGTTAAAAATCGAAATTGTTAAATTGCCACGAGTTGAATTAATATGCTTTCATGGAAATATTTCAGGTCTTATTTCACATTCTTAATGCACTCATTGCACATTATGTGTTCTCTAAGTGACATTAAGACACCAACTTCATTTCTAATCTTACCATTGTTAGTTTCAATACTTGAGTCCATTAGCCTATTAAGATTACCAAAAGTTGAATTGTTAGACCTCAGTCAACATGATTGTGTCCACTATGATCACCATAACCCAATATCTCATGAGACTCTGATTTCTGCTGTGGAGTAAGCCATGGGGGCATCTCAAGGTGGGGGTGTTTGGGGGGAGGGGGGCAACGTTGTGCACTTCACCGTACAGTTATATGAAGTAGTCGCCCCACCCATATGCATATTTGGCAGAGCAATTTTGCCAGTCTCTCTATCAGCTCTATCGCTATTACTAATACAAATGGTTAGCAACCTTATTAGCACATTACGTTCCTTGCTTTATTTGCATTTCTAAACTCACATGGAATTAGGAGAATGGTAGGTAAATGTCTGAATGTAGATGGCAGAATCATGAATGGACTGCATGTACGCAAGAATTTCTCAACCATGTCCACTCTTTCATTGCGTTCTGTTTGCATGGGAAGAAATGCCATTTTATCAGTCTTGGAATACTTGTGGGCATATCATCACGTGACGATAATGCTAATAGTTGCCAATAGTTAGGGAATAAGATCTGGCCTAACTTACTCTCTGAGTATTTCCATTCGTGAGGTGGTGTGAAAATACTTTTCATCAATGGCTTGTGAAGGGCTTCCTATGCACATACGATTGTGCCTGTGATTGTCATTTTGACAACGGTTATTCAAACAAGCCCCAGGCTGCGTTTGCCTAGGAAATGCACATGTCTCATTAGTCTTACAGCCTATTAGAAGAAGGGCGCTCAAGCCACTACTGCCTTAGCAATTTCAAGCTTATTTTAGACCTCCTAACGTTTTTCCAAGTGAATTATGTCACACTTTATTGATTGACGCATGTACCTTCCTCAAAATCAGGTGTTATTTTTGCCTTTTTGCAAAATATCACGTTGGCACGTCAAAATGGCAATTCCGTTGTCTTAATTATCCATTTTGAGTAACGTCTGTGATCAGTTCCACTTAAATTGAGTTGATGTTATGTCGAATAACACCTTGAAAGTAGTCTTTTCTGCAGTTCCATACATATTGCTGAGCCTTACTTTCAGCAGATAAGCCATAACCTGTTCCCGAATTCACTCTAAGGCGGTTTGTAGGTAATCTTGGCATTATTTCAAGTAGACGCCTCACGGCAACAGTAGCTCGTGTAACTAGGACCTTGATCTCGCTCTTGAAACACTCAATGCCATATCAACTGCAGAGCTTTCAAACGAGCGCAACCTTTTCTTATTGTCTGCGTGCATAAAACGCTCCACTGTGAATAAACCTCATCAATATGCCATATCGGTCAGAGTATATATTAGAATCAATTTGTGGCCACTGAGTTAAGATACTTGCAAAAAACGAGAATGCCATGTTGGCAGCCTAGTTTCAAGCACAATTTGAACACTGCGACCCCTAACATTTTTAACTGACTTCCGAATTGCATCAATTACGATTGCCTCCAAACATGTTCACAATGCTTATTAGTTCGAATCATTTTTCTACAGTATTAAGCCTCATGGGTGACGCGGTAGTCCTGTGATATAGATTTGGTCAAATCGGAAGTAAGTTCTCTTCCACAATCTGACCAGGCAATTTCATTTTGAATTCTAGTTTGGGAAACTGGTAACCATACCGTCCATAATCTCTCACTTTGAAAATTTAATTGAAATCGAAGGCTAGCAGTTAATTTTTCCTTGTTAAAAACTGTGTCTTGTTAGGGTTTATCCAAAAAGTTGTAGATGGTACTATAATTCGATGTGATTCAGTTTCTTATACTTCATCTATCTCAAATCACTGCTTGAACTCCAGATTTCAATTAATAAGTTTTCGACTTAGCTTCCACCTCTTCTCAACGAATATTTATGACAAATTGCAGGCGTTTTGATAGGTATCATTAGCCTTTTAGTTGACTTCGGGCTTCGCAGAGAGAGAGGAACAGACAAAGTCAAATAAATTCGTGGGGAGTGGGGGAGGACAGAAGAGATTGATTCAGAGATGTAAAAGACACAGGGACAAAGGCAGAGAAAAAGGTAAGGTGAGTACTGTGGATGTTGTGGAATATGGCATACAGTAAGATCGTGGTAGTTTGAGGTCAGAAGCTAACTGCTGGTTTATGGGCTTTTTTGTCGTATGTGTACACGTTCCCCAGTGTGAACCACGTGGAGGTGAGTCTTTCGCGCTCCTACGATCTAACATTGATTTAAGTATTCTTTTTTCATTTGCTATGGAAAACTAATATAATTTTATAGTTTAAGGTATTTCCTCATGTACATTGTCAACAAGCCAGACACAGAGTTCACTGGACAGGTACGTCAAGCTTGTTTGAAAGCGAAAATAGATGAAGGATTTCGATCCTGGTGCAAATTTTTATCTGTTATTCTTTGTAGGAAACTTATGTCTGGGAGTTGTACCAGAAACGTTATTTGGGTTTCTCCCCAATTGGAAATTGTTTCCGCAAGCAATACAAAGAGGAACTTCAAGCAAAATACTCTTGGAACAACCGTGAAATCACTTTCTTTCACTTTCGCCTTTCGAAAAAATCTCATTTTCGAACCCTCTCCCCCCCTCTCCCCTCCCCCTCCCTCCCTCTCTCTCCTCCCCACTTTAACGTATAAAGAGATACATGCTTATGTAAGTAGATAGATTCTAATTTATTCGAAACAAAAGAATTACTTTCGCTTGGACTATTTTTTCCCCTCGACAGGAATGGATGTGATTTGTATTCCATCTATTTTCTCCTCCAACTGTGTGCGTCATTTCTTTTGCGGTCGCGTAATTACTTTCTTTTCCTTTGGGAAAAAATGATCAATTTGGGTATTAAAAGTGATTTGTTTTGAGCTCGCGTGTTTGTCCAAGTGCGTGCGTGCGTGCGTGGGGTGATTTCACGCGCCTGCATGCTCAGCCTTTAATGGGAATTATTTTCATAAGTAAAAGTGAATCCGCACTTTGTTGGGGTCTTCTCTCTCTCCCTGTCGACTGGGTAGGCAGAATTTCGTAGAAAACGTTAAGCAGCCTCGAAGGAGGAATCCAATGAAACGCAACTTCAGGACTTAAAATAAATGAAAAGTCGCTGGAAATGCTGTCAAGAAGAGATTTGCCACTTCTTGCGATAATTCAATTCATGGTGGAGGAAATAAATTCGAATTGGGGGATTTTGAAGGTCTTACCTTCGAATTTTCCACGTACACGACATAATACCAAAATTTAAATCAGATTGGCTTTATGCAAATAATCTGTTTCGCATCCGGAATTCTCGATTCTTCAGCTGGGTTAGCACCCAATTAAACATGTGAGTTCCTACAATTATTGTCATAGAGTTTTCGTTTTGTTCAGTCATTCGAGCAAAATAACACGCGTAGAGCCTCGGCTTCATGGCGAGGAGGAGGTGGCACGTTGTATGAAGAGCGATAAGAAGTGGTCAAGGAGGGAATGGAACACGGCTTTGTCGATAAAGATGAGACTGTAGGCTGGTTGGCTGCAATGATGGGCAGCGATAGAGCTATCAAGGTAACTGCCAAATTAACTCTGCCCAAATATGCATCTGGGTGGGGTGGGGGGGGGGG